ATCAGGACCTGAGCTGAAGGCAGAGGCTTACACTGAGCCACCCAGGCAGCCCTTTGCACAACTTTCTTAAAGATTATTCTACTTAGGGTTCTTTGAGATTCCTAATTCAGTGGGTTTACAGTTTTATCAAAGTTGGAAAATTTGGGCCTATTATTTCTCAACTTTTTTTTTTTAAAGATTTTATTTTATTTATTTGACAAACAGATTACAAGTAGGTGGAGGGGCAGGCAGAGAGAGAGAGGAGGAAGCAGGCTCCCTGCTGAGCAGAGAGCCCAATTCGGGGCTCGATCCCAGGACCCTGGGATCATGACCCGAGCTGAAGGCAGAGGCTTTAACTCACTGAGCCACCCAGGCGCCCCACAACTTGTTTTTTTTATTCACTTATTCTGGGACTTCAGTTACATGTATGTCAGGCCATTTAATATTGTCTCATGGGTCATGGTTGCTTTATTTTTTTTTTTTTCCTGTTTAATCTTTGTGCTTCATTCTGGATAGTTTCTTTTGCTTTGTCTTCATATTCACTAATCTTTTCTCTTTGTAATGTCTATTCTTTCAATCCCATGCAGTATATGTTTTTTATCTCAGAAATTCTAGCTTTAATTTTTTTTTTTTTTATGTCTTTCATGTCTCTCTTCATTATGCTTACATTTCCCTCTACCATCTTGAAGATTTTTTATCTGGATGTTAGGACTATTGGGTCGGTTTTTATTATTTTATTAAACTTTCTCCTGTATGGACTATGTGTTTCTATTTTTATATATGCCTGGTGATTTGATTTTGTGCTAAACACTGTACATTACAGTTTTGGGTTGCTGAAATTTTTTAAAAATTATTTTAAATAATGTTGAATGTTGATTTCCTGCTCATTTTCTGATCTGGCTGGTGGGGTCAGGAATTATTCTAAGCCCTGTTCAACCTCTAGGGATTGTTTTGTCTATTCCTTACTTGGAAACAGTTGACTCCTTTCAAGATTTGCATTAAAGGTCTGTTAGGTGCAAAGCAATCTTTAATCTTAGAAGACTTTATCTCTACCTTGCTGAGGATTCTACCTAATGTTCCATGTATTGTTGCCAAGAATAGACAATTAGGAACATGTAACTATTTCTAACCCTGTGCAACTGCCAATATATATATATATATATTTTTTTAAAGATTTTATTTGAGAGAGAGCATACGAGATAGCATGAGCAGGGGAAGGGGAGAGGGAGAAGCAGACTCTCTGTTGAGCCTGATGTGATAAGGGGCTCAGTTCTAGGATCCTGAGATCATGACCTGAGCCAAAGGCAGACGCTTAACTGACTTGAGTTACCCAGGTGCCCCGGGCCAAGGTTTTCTTGCCTGTTCCTTTCTAGCGGCTCTTTCAAATTTGAGTAGTTTTCTCTTATTCATGTGTCTATCAGTGCTCACCCAAATATTTGAAGGGGTCTTTCTATTCTCTGCCTTTCAGATTATAGCCACATTGGCCTCTGCTAATACAAATAAACACTCATTTTTGTCTCCTCAACTCAATAACACTGCAGGGCTCTGTTTGGCTCCCCCCCCCCGCCCGTGCCCCTTGCACTGTAACCTATAGATAGTGAGTTGGTACAATTGCTCTCTCCAAGATCAATCTTGGTCCATGTCTGAAGTCCTTTCAAATATTTGAGCTAGTTTTCTGGCTAAGATGGTAGTATAAATCCTGTCCTTGTTACTTTATTTTTCCTAGAAGTAACAGAGCTATTAATTGTAGTGATTTTTTTTTTAGGGCCATTAATTAGAGGGCAACATTTGGAATGGGTGGGTAGGCCTTCCCTGGTATAATAAGCTGATAACAGTACTAACAGTTTTCCAAACAAAGTTCACAGTTTGCTTTGGGAGAGTCCTAGATGGAATCTGGGGGTTGGTGAGGAAAGCAAGCAGATCCTAAAGTAAACCCTAAAGTAAAAGTAAAAGATCCTAAAGTAAACCACAAGGGCAACAGAAAATGGAGTCGTTTATTCTGAAATGTACCCCTGGGATCCAGCCCTGAACTGATTTTGAAAGGTCAGAAGGGACACAAGCCACCTCACCTAGAAGAAAAGTTACACACATGTGGGGCCATTTGTCCCTCTCTTCCACAACCACCAAACACAGGGTGTCAAGTCCTAGCTTCCCAGAAAGACAGAATGTTATGCTCAACAATAAATATTAATGGATATATGAACACTAATGTGAAGAAAACCACCATAAAGGAAAGAAATCAACAACCAAAAAGTAACACCTAAGGAACCAAGCTTAATGGAGGCAACTAATGAAAACTTTGTTTTGAGATGTTTCAGCCATTTTTTTCAAAAGGTATGAAGGTACACTAGTCTCCTCATCTGTGGTTTTGCTTTCCCTGATTTCAGTCGCCTGTGGTTAGCCTGCTGACCAGAAAGAGATGGTCTTCCTGATGAATTCTCAGAAGTTCAGTAGCCTAACACTGAGAATTTGCCTAGTCATTCACCTCATGTCATCATGTAGACATTTTATCTCACAGCATCACAAGGAGGGTGAGTACAGTACAAAAAGATTTTTTTTTTAAGATTTTATTTATTCAATTGACAGCACAGGTAGGCAGAGAGAGAGGGAAAAGCAGGCTCCTCGCCACGCAGAGAGCCCGATGTGGGTCTCAGTCCCAGGACCCTGAGACCAGGACCCGAGCCAAAGGCAAAGGCTTAACGCACTGAGCCACCCAGGCACCCCTACAAAAAGATTTTTTGAGAGACCACAGTCACTTAACTTTTATTTAGTATATTGATATAATTGTTTTGTTATTGTTCATCTCTTACTGTGCCTAATTTATAAATTAAACTATCATAGGTATGTATGTATAAAAAAAAAAACAGTATATCTTAAGATTTGGTACTAAGTGCGGTTTCAGTCATTCACGGTGGGGGTGGGAGTGGTCGTGGAATGTGACCCCTGCTGATAAGAGGGGACAACTGTATTATGAAAAGAAAATTTGGAAGTTTAAAATGGAATGAAAAAAACCCTCAACACCAAAGGAAAAAAATTGGGCTAAGTAGAACATAGTTGGAGATCAAATCTGAGTTGGAATAATAAGCCAAAAATATACCCAGAATTCAGTACAAAAGAACAGAGTAAAAAAAAATTTTTTTAAGCGTGGATAATAGATGGAGAAGTTCAGTATCAATCCAGTTAAGTTCCAGATGGGGGGAAAAAAAAAACCCCAAAAGAATGAAGGAGAACTTATGAAAGAAATAGAGAAAAAATTTAAAGAAAAATATATTGCTTCTGGTTGAAAGGATCCCTCAATTGTAGAAGAGAATTAATTTTTTTAATTAATCATAAACACAAATAGTGTATTTTAAAGCCATAAAGAGAACATCCAACCTTTATCTAGAGGGGGTTGAAACCCCAGCTTATTTAAAGAACGGAACTCAGGGGTGCCTGGGTGGCTCAGTAGGGTAAGCATTGGACTCTGGATTTCAGCTCAGGTCATGATCTCAGGGCTGTGAGATGGAGCCCCATGTCCGGCTCCACACCCAAGGTGGAGCCTGCTTAAGCTTCTCTCCCTCTCCCTTTGCCCTTCCCACACTCCTCTCTTCCTTTGCGGGGGGGGTTGGGGGGGGGGGGGGGGGGGGGGGGGTACTTAACCTTAAGTATTAATTTGAACTAAGACTTTTATATAATAAAACCAGCATTCAAATCCAGAAGAAAAAGACATCTTCAGAATACAAAGTACTCAGAATTTATTAACCAAGCCACAGACCCATTCTGAAAAAGTAAATTGAGCATATATTCCAGACACACACACACACACACAGTGGGTAGAAGAGCAGGACAGGGAAAGAAAGTCTCTTTCATATTAACATTTGAATTTCATACTTCCCTTGGAAAATGAGAACATAAGCAATCCAGGGCTCTGATTCCCACTGGACTACTATAAGCTGGAGTTAACTGGCTACTGCTTTCAAAGAGTTAAGGTCCTTAGCTGCTGTCCCAGTGGCCTATTACTTCACTCCCTATTTGCTGTTGGTGCCCACCCAGCCTCAACAGGCATTTGAGCTGACCTTCTAAGCCTTAAACCTAAGGAATTCATCCAGCAGGGTTATATGCATCCTTGAGGAGCAGAGGTGATGTGGGCATCCCTGAAAATATCCCTGCCATACCCACAGAAACATATTGATAGAACAACATCTATAGCAGTGCTTCCCGAACATTTCATTTATTCTTCAAAGCATTCCCCAAAAGTAGGAACTGAAAGGGGATGTGCTGTCCTTCAAAGCCAAGGATCAATGTGCCTTCTAATCCATAGCTTCCACCAAGTTCCCCCTTAAACAGTCCTTGTAGTCCAGAAGACGCCGCCCAGGATTGGCAGCCGGAACACTCCGCCACTTAACTTGCTGTGTGGCCTCAAACAAGTCACTTGATCTCTCTGAATCTCATTTCTACCAATAAAATGAAAATGACCTTGCAGAGCTGGACGTTTAAGAGTTAATGTATTTAAACCACTCTGCCTCGGAAGGGGTGTAATAAATGGTGACTTGCTTAATTTATCAGGTGACAAACGGGCTGAGGTCATTTAAAGACACCTAGGATTTTCTAGCTTCCCCTCCGGGCTGCGCCGGCTTTAACTCCGATCAGTAGTGGAGCCCGTGGCCCAACTGAGCTATGGGGCGATAGAATTTTGTTCAGATCCCGCTCCTTCCTCTTGGACGCGGCTCCCGGGAAGGTTACTTCTCGAGTTTCCAGTCCCGGCGGGGTTGGGTCCCGACAAAACGCCCACGCAGCGCGGAACACCTCCCACCCCCAATCTCGGGTCCACCGCGTCCCGCAGCGAATCCGCGCCAGGGCCGTGCCGGGCAGCACGGGGTTGCAGACGCCGCGGGAACCGCCCCGTGCGACGGGGGGAGCCGTCCGGTGGAGCCCGGAGCCCGGCCTGCTCCTCGAGTCCCGTTGAGTCCTAGTGCACGGCGGGCGGCCAATCAGCGCCCGCCGGGCCGGGCTCTGCCCCTCCCGCCGCGCACAGGGTCCGGAGCGGAGCGGGCGGCGCGGGCAGCTCGAGCTGTGCGGCAACATGGTGCGTGGCCGCATCTCCAGGCTCTCGGTGCGCGACGTGCGCTTCCCCACGTCGCTGGAGCGCCACGGCTCCGACGCCATGGTAAGCGCTGAGCGACTGCCCGGTGCCTCTTGCCGCGGACGTCCAGGCCCACGTAGGCGCAGGGAGTCCAGCGGGTCCCGGAGTTTCCCCACTTTTGCCGAGGAGGAGGCCGGGAAGGGGACGGAAAGTAAAAGTAACCCAAAATTATCCACAACTCCTGGGCTTACCCCCCGCCCCTTTGTTGACGTTTTGCGCTTCCTGTTGTTACATTTATGATTCGTATTTTGCTGGAAATGGTAGATGCGTAATGTGCAACACCAGCGAAATGCTCTTGTTGGATCCCCACCGATGAAAGCCTAGAACACCTGCTGGCTTCTGCTGCACCGAAACCTTGGTGGGGTTTGTGGTGGTGGGCTTGGCTGTTCTGGGTGAGGATCCTGCCTCCCCTACAACTTGCTGTGTGACCTAGAGAAGACGCTAACCTCTCTGGGCATCTTGGGCCTGTCTTTGAAATGGAGTCGCACTCTGGCTGGGAAACCAGACAAGCCCGTAGTAATTCTGAGGCATGTGAGGGGGCTCTCATGAAATTACCTGAAAACGTTGTTAGAAAGGGTTTGTCACTGTAGAGAGTTATGCAAGTACCCGTCTTTGGAGAAGTTGTAAAACTACAGCCTTCTGTCTAAATACTGAAGGGCATGTTTGCTTATTGACCGTGTTTGGAGGGAAACCCTCCATCCCTACCAGGGTCCCTGCAGTGGTTCTCAAATATAGGAAGGAGCTCTATACTGAGTCTCCCCGAGGGCTGTCGTCCACTGGATTCTCATTGCCCTCAGTCCACCGAGGAGAAAAATTTGCATGGGTCTGTAAGGAATGTGTGCACACATGGGGGGAAGTGAGAAACATCTATGTTAGGATGATACTTACCTCTTACCTGTGTGGAGGGAGGGGAATGAGTACCAGAGGACTCTAGTATACCCTCTAATGTTGTGCTTCCTACGTGGGAAGGTGATATCATTACATTCATTACCCATGCTCTTTGGGTACTTGAAATATTTTTTTTTAAAGATAGGTCTCTCGTGGAAAATGCTGACTAAACAAATTATTATGTTTAAAAGTATGTCCTTTATTCTGAGATGAAGTTATTCCCGCTTTTTAAAATCTTTGTGTTCCTTCTTATGTTAAATGACTTTAAAAACACCCAGTTTGGCAATCCTTTGTGGATCTCCAAATGTTTGAAATTTCACTGGCTTGTAAAAAATCAAACAATTGCTCTAATGCAACCACTTTGGCTCTCTGAAGTGTAGCAGCTGTGGGTTAAACAACTCACTCTCTTAAGCCTTGGTTTTCCTTTTTCTTCCATTTTTAAAATTTAAATTCAATTAATTAACATATAATGTATTATTGGTTTCAGAGGTCAGTGATTCATCAGTCTTATATAACACCCAGTGCTCATTATATCATGTGCCCTCCTTAATGTCCATCACCCAGTTACCCTTTCCCCCAGCTCCCTCCCCTCCAGCAACCCTCAGGTAGTTTACTGTGATTAAGAGTCTCTTATGGTTTGTCTCCCTCTCTGGTTTTTTTTCCTCTCTTTCCCTTATGATCCTTTGTTTTGTTTCTTAAATTACACATATCAGTGAGATCATATGATAATTGTCTTTCTCTGATTGACTTATTTCACTCAGTGTAATACCCTCTAGTTCCATCCATGTCCTTGCGAGTGACATTTTAATTTTTTATAATTTTTTATAACTTTTTATAATTTTTTATAAATTTTTTATAATTTTTTAATTTTTTATAGCTGAGTATATTCCATTGTGTATATATGCCTACTATAACCATTCATCTGCCGATGGACATCAGGCTCTTTCCAAGGCCTCAGTTTTCTTATCGGTGACATGGGTATAATAATATCTGCTTTATGTAATAAACGAGATGCTCGTAAGGTGCCTGATACAGAGAAAGCCATCAGAAAGTATTATCTGTAATTACTGTTTACATATGAGAAAACTGAAGTAGAAGGGGCTGTGGCCTAGATTTTTCGCTGCTTTGAATTTGTGAAGTGTTGAAGTAGCCTGGTTTTAAGTAGAGTAATTTAAGAACTGGAATTTGTCTCTGGGTCTAAGTTGTTTATGACCTCTGGATCAAGAGAGATTCTCTGATACCTGTGTTACAAACTCATAAATACTTAAGTATTTATCTTCCAGAGATATGGGGTGTGTTGTGTGCTGATTCTCATGTGCCTTCTTATTAGAATGTGCTGCTTTGCAGTTCCTGGGTTATTGCTTTCGAGTCCTCACGGCATGCTGAACTCAGCAATTCAGCTCTGTTCAGCACTTACAAACAGAGGAGCCTTCCTGATCAGAAGAAGCAGGATATTTTCATGAAGGAGCCCTGAAACTGTCCCCCAACCTGTTAAAAGTAAAGGATTCCAGCTGTGATTTTTTTTTTTTTTTTTTTTTTTATTTATTTGACAGAGAGATCACAAGCAGGCAGAGAGGCAGGCAGAGAGAGAGGAGGAAGCAGGCTCCCTGCTGAGCAGAGAGCCCGATGCAGGGCTCGATCCCAGGACCCTGAGATCATGACCTGAGCCGAAGGCAGCGGCTTAACCCACTGAGCCACCCAGGCGCCCCGAGCTGTGATTTTTTTTTAATTGGCCTTTTAGAAAATGTGGAGCACTCAGGCCTGCATTATAAGTTGCTTGCTTGTCGAGACACTCATCAAGGTTCCAGAGAGTTCCAGGGCTGTGGGCTCATAGCCCAGCTCCAGCTGACACATGCCACAACCACCACCACTTCCCAGCCTATACTTTTCTTCTTTCCCCATTGTCTGCTGAGCTCCCGGGAGTGGCTATGCAACCAGACTGCTCTCCCGCTCCTCCAGCTCCCAGTCCCACACCCCCCCCCAGCACTTGGAAAACTGCCCACTACATCATGGAGAAGACTGAAAACAAATGCACCCTGGGCCCCATCTCCACCCGTCAGTCTCCAAACTAACCCCCATGTTTCCCTTTATTCTGTGAGTCCTATCCTTCTCCCAAAAGAATCCGTTCTGCTGTGTCCCCATCCCCACCCTATCCGTTCTGCTGTGTCCCCATCCCCACCCTTCTTGACTGCAGAGGCCCCATTCTCATCCCCTGTATCTCCAGTATTTTCTTCCTCAGTTTCTTTTCCCACTGGTTCCTTTTCTATCACATATAGACAGGGATTTGCATTTTGGAATCACCTCTTGACCCTAACACCTCTCTTCTGCCTTCTGTGTCTGCTCCTTCCCCACCAAACACTAAATCACTGGTTCATCCCTGTTGCCTCCAACCTTTACACTTCCTTCCTTCCTTTACAGTACTTCCTTCCTCCTTCATCTGAAATGAACTTCTGTCTCCGTCTTTCTTTGGGACAGACTGTTATTTCTGCTTCCAGGGTCCTTTCTCAGGGTCTGCGTGTCATGTTGTTGGCTGCCTCCTCTTCCAGCCATTGCTCTACACCCTGGCTGGCTGCTGCTGCTTCCTTTACTGACCCTGCTTCTTCCTTCTGCAAGGCTCAGGCCCCAAGGGCCCTACTGTCTCATGCTTCTCCCAGTAAGACCCTCTCTGTGTGTACAGCTTCAGTGCCCACTTGTATGCCAGTGATTCCAGATCTCTTTCTGAATCTTGCCTCTTAGGAGCCCAGGGCCGAACCAGGCTGTCACCAACCCTTAAATACACTCCAGTCTTTCCCTTTTCTGTGTCTTCACTGTCACTGTCACCAAAGGTGATTCTTCCGTCCCAGTCCTTCATGCCCTCTCCCACTACTGAACAGCTCCCCATCCTGGACCAACCACCTCAGATTCTAATTTCATCATAAAGCCTCCTCCAGCTTCAAATCCATGCCACTAATAGTGCCCCCTGCCTGGCTTCCATAGTTTGTATTTCTCCCAGAGACTTACCACATCCTGCCTCTTATTATTAGAGCTTCTGTAACCATGGCTTTTAAACTGTAATATTCTTTTTTTTTTTTTTTTTTGAGATTTTATTTACTTATTTGAGAGAGAGAGCATGAACAAATGGAAGGGCAGAGGGAGAGGGATAAGCAGGTTCCCACTGAGCAGGGAGCCTGACAGGGGGCTCAGTCCCAGGACTCTGAGATCATGACCTGAGCTAAAGGCAGACACCCAGCCGACTGAGCCACCCAGGCGCCCCGGAAACTGAGTTTAAAGAGACAATTTAAATCCCTATACCCAGGGAAAGGGAAGAGGCAAACATGGTAGGCAGGCGGCCTTTGTCTGGCATCAGAGCCTCGTGGAGGGCATTCAGTGTGAAGGGTTCCTGGGTACCGGCTACGTATCAGAAGTTGTGCAAGTTGCTGGGGGAGCACAGATACATTTTCCCTTAAGAAAGTTGTAGTTTAGGGGCAACTGAGTGGCTCATTGGGCTGGGCATCTGCCTTCAGCTCAAGTCATGATCTCAGGGTCCTGGGATTGAGCCCCCCGAGAGTCTGCTGCTCTCCTACTGCCCTTCCCCACCCCCAGCTCATGCTCTCTTTCTCTCTCTCTTACCTGTTCTCTCTCAAATAAATAAAATCTTTAAAAAAAAAAAAAAACAACTCAGTTTTCTTATCTCTCAGGTAGGGATAATTAGCACCTACTTTGTGATATTGTTGTGAGGGTTAAATTAAATCAAGTAGCTTTTAAAATAGTGTGCCAGAGCAACAAATGTTATATAGTAATAATAATAATAATAATAATAACAATAAAAACCGTAATAAATTTTCACCGCCCGATGCAAAATCCGACACTAGCTGCATCTTATGCCCCGTGCCGTCCCTTGTCCATCCCCATGTCTCTGTCCCCGGCTTCCTCTTTGCTTGCTCCCTTACTCTTCAGGGTGCTTCTCACTGACCACACAGTAGTCCTCACCTGCTTCTTGTGTGTTGGCTTCTTCTCCCCACTGTAAGAGAAATTTCTAGACACAGACTGGTTTTTTCACTTCTGCCTCCCCCCGTCAACAGGTACTGTTGAGTTTCATCACAGTCAGTCAGTAAACACTTACCAAAATACCATTTGATAGTAGCAAGTTTAAAAAAAGAACAAAACAAAAGATGGGCTAATTTGTCCTGAGGTTTTAATTCCTTGCGTTCCCCCAGTGATCTCCTCTGAACCGGGCACCATTGTCTTTTGAGCCCTGCTACGGGCTGCAGCGAAGAAAAGTCCAGTTTTCTGTGAGGCACTCTGAAGCCTTGGCTGCTTCCATTTGAGGCTGCTTGTGAATGCAGCTCTGTTCAGAGAGCTGGCAGAGGTAGCTTGGGCAAAAACTCCTGGATTACAATCTGAGCTTATCATCAGAGGAGGCATAATTGCAAATTGGCACTAAAAATGTATACATTGCCCTCGTTGAAATTATATGAATCTGTCAGGAGGACTTTCCCTTTGTCCATTCAGAACTCCTCCATTTTGGGGGGGGGTGCCCCAAGGCTTGCATTAGACTGGAGCTCTTCACGCACATTCCCTGTTGTGTTTTCTCTTCGTATGTGATGCTCTGAGGTGTATCTTTGGGTTTCTCATGTTTGCGTTGTGGGGTGGGGTGCATATTTCCCACAGCACACAGACCCTGACTACTCGGCTGCCTATGTCATCTTAGAGACGGATGCGGAAGACGGGCTCAAGGGGTATGGGCTTACCTTCACTCTGGGAAAAGGCACAGAAGTTGGTGAGTGGAATGTTCTTACAAGGTTCTAGAATGCTTCATTTTCACTTAGATTCCAATTGTGACCTTACTTTTCTCTGTATTTATACTGCTCAGGGTGAGTAAAAAGAGCATTTTGTGGTTTATTTGTTTCATGGGGAGAAATGAAATAGTGGCAGGACTTGGCCCTTCTCCTCGCAGGGGTCGATGGACTGTGGGCATATCCGTGAATCTTGGCCTATTTCTCTGACTGAGAAAGGCAGGTGGCCAGGGATATGACATAGACAGACGGGCAGTGGTCCTCATGGCGGAAAGGCCTCTGGCTGCCCAGGTTCAGAGCTGTCATCTGGGCAAAGCAGGTTTGCATTGAGCTATGAGTGCAGTTCTTCTCTCAGAATTGGGGAGAGCTTAGTGGGGGTCTTGAGGCCCCTCGTTTTCTTGATAAAGAGACTGAGGCCCAGAGAGCTGCTTAGCTAGCCCCTCCCTGAAGTGTTTTCTTTCCACATTTTTTAAAAAAGATTTTTTTTATTTATTTGAAAGAGAGAGAGAGCACAGAGGGAGAGGCAGACTCCCCACTGAGCAAGGAGCCTGATGCGGGGTTCCATCCCAGGACTCCAGGGTCATGACCTGAGCCGAAGGCGGCCGCTTAACTGACTGAGTCACCCAGGTGCCCCTCTTTCCTCAACGTTTAAATACAAATGATCTCTTTGATTTTTGTTTTGAAATACTTAATCCATGTACAAGATACAAAATTCAAAAAGTACAAAAGGTGACCTTTGCCAGATCAGTTTCTATGGATCATGAGGGTCTGAAGCCAAATGATGACAGTTGAGGTGTGAAGATCTAAGAAGGAAGGAAACGGTTTCTCTAAATTTGGTGGTGATGCAATACCTCTCCCTGTCAGCTGTTTGCACTGTCCGCTCTCCCTTAGATGTAAAGTAGAAGTCTTCGGTCCACTGAAAGATTTTAGTATTGTCAAGCAGACGAAAGTTGTGTGTGCACACGTACACACGTGTGTGTACGTGTGTGTGTAAGGACAAGGGAACTTTTCTTGTATTTAAGTGGATGCAAGGTGGCTACTGTCCCACTTTTCACAGGCTGGCCTTCTGTCGTGCCTTCAGCCAGTTCTGTAACAGACTACCTTTGAGGTTTCTCCCATGGGTCAGGCACTGGAGAGAGATTTTAGTGAGACAGACAAAGGAGACAGAATCTCGAGTATATGGAGAAAGAATGCACGAACGTCTCAGGGACATACAGCCATAAAAGAAAGGATCATGCAGCGTGAGAAGGATAGATTTTTCAAAGCTGGCACAGGTTACACAGAGAGAAGTTTAGTTCATTGTCCAGGAGGGTCTTGGGCAGCTTCAGAACAGAGGTGAGCCTTTGAGATTAATCTTAAAGATTATTCCTTGAAGCTAGGAATTTGCCAGGTAGCAGGAGGAAACTCAGCAATGATTCCGTCTCCTTCTCCGTTAAGTCAACCATTTGCTGTTAATGTTTTCCATAAGGCAGTGACTGCTGACCACACTGGGTTTGTGAGCTGTGTGTCAGCTTCTCCGGCACCCGTAATTGTGTCTGGTCTAAGCCAAGTTTATGAAGCTGCCTTCTCTCTATTGTAGACAATATAGGGCGGCCCCCAAAGGTTGCGTAAAACTCAGCAAACTTACAAAATATGTTATGGAACGGGCCTCTGGAACCACTCTATTAATAGCCTAGACTTTGAACTTTGCTAAGTCAGGTGCACAGTAGAGGGACCCCATGTGCTCACTGAGACATGAGATAGGAGACAGGAGGCTCCTCTCCCTGGTTGCTGAGCTCTGTGCTTTGGGGCCTTCACTGACCTCTCTTCCTCCTCCACTCCCAACCCCTCCCAGCTGTCCTGATGGGCATCTCAGCCAGGGATAAATCAATTTCCATCCTCTATGCCTTTAATAAATGGCTCTTTGGCGGTGATATAGTCGGCTTCCGCCTTTTGCCAACCACAACATGAGAGAACCATTTTAACTTTAACCTTCCTCCATATTTCAGGCAATTTACCAGTCTCACTGAATGTGTTACATGGCATTTGCATTAAAGTTGAAAAAAATTCCATTAGTCCATCACAGTTCTTCTGTGCCTTTGTCAGCCTACTTACTTGTTCATTCTTTTATGATCAAAAAAAAAAAAAGTAAAAAATAGTGGTTTCCTCATTACTGTGAAGGCAGTGCTAGTATAGTGTGTGAGAAAGGGAGGGAGGGTTCTAGTTATTGTTTTATGGATAAAATAAAAAAAAAACAGCTTTTAACAGAGGGAAAAAATATGAAGAAAGAAAAATTTCTAAAGAGACAAAAAACAGCTGTAAGGGTTCACACCAGCCCTAAGGTGCAGGAACCCATGGTCATTCATAGGCTTTATTGACTTGTCCTTCCTGGGCTGGACAATCCCAGGGAGTCAGTCAGCAAGGCACTGCCTTCGATGGCCAGTTTTTTCCAGATCAAATTTCTCACCCATGGCAGCAAAGCAAACCTGAAGTAGATTGTCCCATACAACGGATGACCACCAGTACCCGAATTTCTGTCAAATGCACTAAATTTTATTTTATTTTAAAGATTTTATGTGTGTGTGTATGTATGTATGTATGTATGTATTTACTTAATTGGCAGAGAGAGAGAGACAGTGAGAGAGGGAATGTAAGCAGGGGGCGTGGGAGAGGGAGAAGCAGGCCTTTCCACTGAGCAGGGAGCCCGATGGGGGGCTTGATCCCAGGATGCTGGGATCATGACCTGAGCCGAAGATAGACATTTAACAGCTGAGCCACGGAGGTGCCCCCTTTTCATCTGTAATAGTGTGTTATATTGTGAATTCAAGATATTTTCTGTGCTTGATATTAATTAGAAGTTACTTCTTTCTCTTTCTCTTTTTTGTTTTTTTTTTCCCTTTGGTGGTAAGTAAGACCCTTCTTATTTTTTAGGAACAATGAATTAGCAAGGTTTGGTTTTGAAACTGCCTGTACAGACACTTTCCCAAGTGAACAAGAAAATAGATTTGAATATGACATAAACTTTCGTATCTGTGGCTCTGTTTTTCACATGGCAACCATTCAAACTGTGTTTGCTCTACTCAGATGGAGCTATGGATTAACAGCTATTCTACATGGATAGTATTACTTACAAAAAACACAGAAGACATATTCTGGGCAGTTTTTAAAAACAAGTATCTTTTGTATATGAAGTTTCTTTCATAAAACGCCCACATTCGTTTGTAGTGTTTTCATGTCTTAATTTATTGAGTTCATACCAAAACATACTTAAGAATTGATTCCTTACTTAATAGTGGTCTGTGCTGTGAATGCCCTCGCCCACCATGTGCTTAACAAGGACCTCAGGGACATCGTTGGTGACTTCAGAGGTTTCTACAGGCAGCTCACAAGTGACGGGCAGCTCAGATGGGTAAGGGCCACTTTTAAAGAATGCTTCTATAAGTAGTGTTACTAAGGTCTAAGATGTCCTTTGATGGCAACAAATACGAAAACAAACAGGCTTATAATTCTAAGGTCAAACATTGTATTGAGATAAATTAGGGCTTGAACCATTTAGACCGTCAGTGTTTGGAAGTAATTGATTCAGTATAAGACTTGAATCTGTACATATTTGGATCTTGAGAGCCCTATGGACCTCATCTCTACTCCCACTCCTTGAATGGAGAAGTGTTCTAGACCCCCTAGAAGATTAAGTACTGAATAGGCAGCCTTTCTGGAGGAGAGATAGTGTGGGTCGTATTGGAACTAAGAGAGGAAGTTATTAAAGCCAGAAATGTGAATCTTACATTTCTTAACCAAAGTTAAGAAGATAGAGACCAGAGTACTTTCATGTGTAAAGGTCTGTATTTTTTTAAGATTTTATTTATTTATTTGTCAGAGAGAGAGCGAGCACAGGCAGACAGAGTGGCAGGCAGAGGCAGAGGGAGAAGCAGGCTCCCCAGAGAACAAGGAGCCCAATGTGGGACTCGATCCCAGGACACTGGGATCATGACCTGAGCCGAAGGCAGCTGCTTAATCAACTGAGCCACCCAGGTGTCCCTAAAGGTCTGTATTTTGAACCCTAAGTTCAAGGCATGAAAAGAGTGAGGTTCTAGAGAAAGGAGTCTATCCCTCTAAGGTCAGTCCAATAACTGGGTCCTTGCCCTTGTCTCCTGACATCAGCTCTGTCTTTTGCTACCTCTGCTCCAGGTCTTGTCCATGCATGGAGAAAGGCACAAGGGAAGGCACTTGCTGTCTTGCCTTGGATTTCATTTTGAACTTTCTGCAAAGCAAGTTGAATTTGTTTTTCAGGGCATTCCCTTGAAGAAGCTCCTACTGGCCAAATCTGGGACAATTGAAGGATCAAAATAAATATGTTAGTAATGGCTTGTAACTCATGGAATAACATAAGAATCCATGAGTCCATTTAGGTAGTGAACAAGCAACCAGGAAAAGCTTGTCATTATAGTAGAATACAAACTTAATGTAAAAAGACTGGTAATGTTAGACAGTCACTGTATTGCAAATGTTTTAGCCATAACTGATTGAGGCAAGAATCTTCAATGCATGCCCAAATTTGGGGATAATATTAATCTCCCTACTTAGAGAAAATAGTAACCTCACAGTGCAACAACCCAGTGCACCCTGACTTACCTAAGTGCTGAAAGATCATATCCCTAATAAACAACCAAAGTGACATTACTGTCTACTTAAAATTTGTGCCAAAAAAGTATGACCTGAATCCCAGTGATGAAGGAACTCCAGACCAACCCAAATAGAGAGACACTGTTACAAGTCAGCCGTCTTGTGCACTTTAAAAATGTCAACAGCAGCTTGAGAAGAATAAGAGAAATTATTCCAGATAAAAAGAGACTAAAGAGGCAAGACAACCAAATGCAATATGTTAATAAAATATTAAGACAGTTGGCAGAATGTGATTATGGACTGTCTTTTAGACAGTAGTATTCTATCAATGTTCTGTTCCCTGAATTTGATCGTTATACTACTACGGTTATGTGAGAGAAGGTTCTTGTTGTTAGGTCCTACATGCAGAAGTATTTAGGGTTCGAGAAGCATGGTATCTGCAACTTAAATGGTTCAGTAAAATCAATATTATATAATATATGTTCTATTTATATATGTATATGTGTGTATATATAGAGAGAGAGAGAGTGGGGAGGAACGTACAAGAGTTTTTTGTGCTGTTCTTGCAACTTTTCTATAGGTTAGAAACTATTAAAAAAAAAAAAAAAAGCTTAACCCCTACATGAGCCTTTATTGATGCCTTTTAAGTCTTGAAATGTGTCCCTGGCTAGGAGACCTAAATACCTCTCATTTCTAAGAAATGCTGATGTGTTTTGCTTCCTAACCAGATCGGTCCTGAGAAAGGGGTTGTGCATCTGGCTACCGCAGCCGTTCTCAACGCTGTCTGGGACCTGTGGGCCAAGCAGGAGGGAAAGGTAACTCATCAAAGGAGCACTTGCTCTGTGGAAAATCCGACATGTGGCAGAGAGATGAACACTTACTCTATGAGCAACCTTCTAAAGGCAAAAGACCTGCACAGCAGGCCTCCAAAAGAAATATAAAGAATTGTTTGATTCTTTATCTCCCTGGCAGTAGTTAGGAAACTATAGGAGTAGGTTTAAAGGGCAGAGAAAGAAATAGGAGGGCAGCAAAGCTAAGGAGTCAGGAGGCAACATTAGAGACCCCAAGACCTGGGCACGCAGGTGGGCCAGAGGGCAGGTGTTTGAGAGTGGGAATTTTCCTTTTCTTTTAGGGAAAAAAAAAGGCTACTTTACACATGTTTTACAATTCTTTTCTCTTTTTTTCTCTCTCTCTCCCTCTCTCTCTCTTTCTTTCTTTCTTTTTTCTCCAAGCCTCTGTGGAAGTTACTTGTTGACATGGTAAGTATAATGTTGTTATAATGTTAAAGAATTATAATAACATTGTAATGTAAATGAGATGGATTTCACAGATTACTTGCTTTTGGTAATCAGTAAATATATTCACTATTGTCTTTGGGTCACTGTAGTGATAACAAAGCAAAAGCCCACTAGATCCTAGTATTTCTTTTCTGATATTTGAAGTAACAGCTCGCTGTGCTCGCATAGGCAGAGTGGTGCAAGGGAAACACTGAGTTTAGGTCCTGCCTCCCCCACTATGGAGTTTTCACATGTAATGCAAATTCCCTGAGCCTCTGTTTCCTAACTATGAAAAGGGGATTGTCGTCACTTCTCTGAGAACCTCATAGAACTTGTTTAAAGACCAAATAAAGTGCTTCCTAAAGAACAAGAGGTTATTAAGATATTGTTATTATCTTAATAATATGTATGATATATTATTAAGATATTGTCTGGTCATTTTGAATTTAAAAGGAAGTGACAAATCAGACTGTGGTGGTCTCCAACTGTCTGATTTCGGAAGGGAAGGAGCCAAACGCTGAAGATAAGGCACCTCAATGTTTCCTTTTTTCTTGACATGTTTATGGTAGAGCTGAACACCTGGCGGCTGAGGAGGAAAAAAAGTCTGGACAAGTTAAGGGGCATGAGCTTCACACCCAGGCAGACCTGGCTTTTTATCTGGGCTCTATGACTTCCTGGCGGGTTGACCTTGGACAAGTCACTAACCTCTTTGAGCATCAGCTGCCTCACGGTGATGATGTCTTGCATGGTTGCTGAAACTCTGGCGGTCAGCAAATGAAGGCCCTCTTATTATTTGGCATCACAATTAAGGAAACACAAAGAACACCATGGCCTTGAAGACTGTAGGTGGGCAGACATTGCCTCTTCTCTGGGAGAAAGTAAAACAGGAGGCTATCACACCATCTCTCTGATGTGGTTGCAGGTGGCATGGGGGCTCCATCCAAAGAGGAAGGACATGAGCTGCTTTTAGGCGCAAGGTCAGACTTTCAGAGGGGTGTAAAAGGCGGCTTCCCAAATGAAATGATTTGAGGGCCACTAGAGAAGATGCCTGTGACTTCATTCTTTTGGATCCTATTTCCTGTTTCAGTAGCGGCCAGTAGTCTAGAAAGAGGTAGAATCTCAGCATTGAAAGAGCAAAAGCTCTTTCTTTCTTTCTTTCTTTATTTATTTATTTTTAAGATTTTTATTTATTTATTTGACGAGAGAGAGGGAACACAAGCAAGCAGAGGGAGTGGTAGAGGGAGAAGCAGGCCTCCTGCTGAGCAGGAAGCCCAGTGTGGGGCTCGATCCCTGGATCGTGGGATCATGACCTGAACTGAAGGCAGACACTTAACGACTGAGTCGCCCAGCACCCCACTTTTTTTTAAGATTTTGTTTATTTTTGAGAGAGAGCACACATGAGCACGAGCAGGGGTGGGAGGCAGGCAGAGGGAGAAGGAGACTCCCTGCTGAGCTGAGCAGGGAGTCGGTTGTAGAACTCAATCCCAGTACCCTGGGATCATGACCTGAGCCGAAGGCAAATGCTTCACCAATTGAGCCAGCCAGGTTCCCAGCTTTTACACTTTTTCACAGACCAGTGGAGTATTGTTGGTCACAGTAAAACCTGAGTGGGAGCAAAGCTACTGGTTACTTCCCAGCTGTTAGATTGAGATGAGGAGGGGTCTCAGCCAGAGGCCCAGATGAGGATGTTGGCCTTGCCAGCGTGGCCTGAGCAGTGAACGAGGGGCAGGAAGAGGTTGGGAGAGAACAGCCAGTGATGGTCCAGGGCCAGGCGGTATGCTGGGTCGTTCATGGTGAATCCCTTCTGTCCTGTCGGTGAAATGAGTTGTCCCAATTTGACAAGAGAGGAAATGGCCCACGGTCAGGCTGCTAATAAATGGTGGGCACAGGGTTGACCCTGGAGGGCCTGGTTCTGAGACCGGCTTTCTTTCATCTCCTGCTGAGCTGCTCCAGGATCACCGTAAGCCGTGAAGTGTGGAGCAATGCCGTAAATATAGAGGGACGCCAGGTGCTCATCTCTCCACTTAACCCGTGCTGAGCGCTCAGATCCTCCTGCCAGATCCTCCTTCCAGGAGCCATGTTAGTTGGGATGGTGGAGCCTGGATGTCTGGGGAAGGAAAGGATGGGGAGGGAGTAAGGGGTTGCAGCACGAGGGCCTGAAGATGTCTTGGGGAGGTGGCACTGACCCTCCGAAGAGCTCTGTACCAAGGAATGACAGAACCAAACAATTTAACACAAATCCTGAATGCCCTTTCCCAGAAAGGGTAAGTCTATCCTTAGAAACCTAAGCTGCTCATGAATTGATCTGGGCCTTTCCCCTCTCCTGTCACGCTGCCAGGACCCCAGGACGCTGTTATCCTGCATTGATTTCAGGTACATCACAGACGTCCTGACTGAGGAGGAAGCCTATGGTGAGTCATACTCGAGTGATGGAACTGAAAGTTTTCTGGTACCTGCTGATGTCTAAATAATGTAGTAGCTTGCTTTGTTGTCTGAAAAAGTGATGACGCTTCTCATTTTTTTCCAGAAATACTGCAAAAAGGTCAAGTTGGTAAAAAAGAGAGAGGTGGGTGGTGAGGAAATTTCCTTCATTATTTTTGTTGTCATTGTCCTTTTGAGGGTCCCTGTCCACTTGGGGTTCACATCATCTTTCCAAAATGCCCGTGGCCCGCGGCCAGGCCCTCTGACAAAGGGTTGCATCTGGAAGATGCGGTGTCCTGGGTGTGACAAATAGGAAGACCTGGGCTAGATGGAGACCCTTGGTATTTGCAGGATTGTGAATGTGGCCAGACGCTGGGCTTGGGGCTGGGTGTACTTGAAAGTCAGGGTCAGAAGGAGAATAGGCTGGATTCTCTGGGGCCAGCAGCTTAGCTAAAGGCAACTGTGCAGCCAGGGTGGCTTGATCGGTTGGGCATTCGCCTTTGGCTCAGGTCATGGTCCTGGGGTCCTGGGCTCAAGTTCCATGTCAGGCTCCCCGCTCATTGGGGAGCCGGCTTCTCCCTCTCCCTCTGCCACTTCCCCTGCTTCTGCGCATTTTCTCTCTCTCTTGTCAAAAAATAAATCTTTAAAAAAATAATAATAAAGGCGATTGTAATTTTGAAGGTCCCTGGAAAGCACAAAATGTTGACCGGCATTGTGTTTCCACAGAAGGACAGATGCTGATGCAAGGCTACCCTGCCTACACCACGTCGTGCGCCTGGCTGGGCTACTCAGACGACAAGCTGAGGCAGGTGGGCGCTCGGACCTGGTGTTGTGGACAGGTTTTATATTCCTGGCTTTCTGGAGTTTTCTTGTTAGCCTTTCTAAATCGTTTTGGACCCAAGGCCTCATTCTGGAGCAAAGTAAAGCCATTCACATCGTGAGCGCGGGACCCCATGACCTAGTGTGTCCCACCTTGGCTTCTGGAACGTGACAGGCCGGGGTTTGATTCCCTGGCAGAGGCAGCAGTGTCCCACTGAGCCTCGATTTCCTCACTGTGAAATGGGGAAATGGTAAGTATCTTGTGGGTGGTTTGGGGGGATTCAGAATCCTGTGTGAGCTCCGCAAGGCCCTCAGCCTGGCGCCGGCGCCCAGCATGCACTCGGAATGTGGTTGGTTTATAACTTTGCCATCACACTGTCCTCGCCGTCGAGAGGAAGACTAGCCTCTGTTTGTTTCCCTTACGTCCGTGTGTTCAGGGGACTGCACAATACCCTCCCTTTAAGAAGGGGGATAGATAGAAATGCTCCATTTCCCTCCTAGGAATGTTGTGAACAATTCAAGAAATTGTTCCCCTCAAGATGAGGAAAGAATGTCATCCTACAAGTATGAAGAGTTATGCTCTGTTGGCGAAGCCACTCCTGCTTTTACATCACCAACACGTGGTGGTTCCTCTGGTTCCTGAGGCATACCATAGTGGTTGTGAAAGGAGACCAGAGACAACTGGGGTACTCATTAGACAAAAGAGAGTTTTGGGGTGTGTGATGGTAACTGTGCTCTTTTCCCCACAGCTCTGCACGGAGGCACTGAAGGACGGCTGGACCAGGTAACCTGTTTGTGTGAAAATTGGCTTCACTCTCCCTGTCACGACAGGCTGGGCAGTGGAGACGAGCCAGGAGCAAAAGGCCCCAAGGATGCCAGGGTTCATCCAGGAATAGTCTGACATGTAGGGATGCGTGGGACAAGTTTCAACATAGGCCAGGCTCTTTCTGCAAAGACGAGATGTGATGGGGCCCCTGGGTGGCTCAGTTGGTTATGCAGCTGCCTTCAGCTCAGGTCATGATTCCAGGGTCCTGGGATTAAGCCCTGCATCGGGCTCCCTGCTCAGTGGGAAGCCGGCTTCTCCCTCTCCCTGTTGCTCCCCCTGCTTGTGTTTTGCTCTAGCTGTGTCTCTCTCTGTCAAATAAATAAAATCTTAAAAAAAAAAAAAAAAGATCTGACAGCTCTCCTAGTTCCCTGACTTGGGGTCAGCAGGTGAGGTGGCCTTATTGCCCTGAGGTCATTTTCCAGTGACTTGTCTGAGACCTAGGGGGACAGGGCAGGAGGCTACTAGAAGAAGTCACCTGTGAATTATCAGCGGAGGCAGCCACTTCTGCAGAGAACCTGCGTGTCTTCGCCCCACCAGGGGATAGGTCCCAGTTACCAAGCCACATCTCTTTTACAGGTTTAAAGTGAAAGTGGGTGCTGATCTCCAGGATGACATCCGTAGGTGCCGCCTCATCCGGAATATGATTGGGCCCGAGAATATGCTGGTAAATATCCTCCCCTCCTACTGAGAAAGAGCAGCCTTGCATGAAGCCTGTGCCCTGGGCCAAAATACAACTCACTTCAGGCAAGGATTAAAGAACGACGAGAACATTAAAGCTGAATGTGAGAGGAAACACAGCTTTGTGGTCTTGCATTGGGCGAACTCTTTAAAAAAAAAACCAACTACGGTGGGAGCCGATAGTTTTAAAAGATTCTCTTCTGCAGAACCTTAAGTAAGAGCTGGATTAGGGATTGTTCCTTCTTGCTAGTAGCGACGCACCTGAGCAGAGAGGTTCCCCACTGGTGCCCTCATGTGTCATTATCTAGTTTCCCTGAACAAATCTGTCCCTCCTGGTTCAGCAGATAGGCCAGTCTTGGGGAGCCAAGGTGGAAGAAATGCCTAACTTTTGCTGAGATAAATGTAAGGATCAGTGATTCCTGTCTTCATATTTTTATAAGATGTTTCTTATTACATGTAAAATATTTTTATAAAGTCACGGTAAGATGTTTTTATGGTTTTTGGAGGCATGTTTCATAAGTTAACAGAAATGGAAGTTGAGTCCTTGACCTAGGATCCGAAGTGCCACTACCTATATACAAGTTAACATGACTTTTGTCTTACTGGGCCGTTCTTACCCAAATAACTTATGCTATAAAGTGATTCTACATGTCCTGTCCTCTGGTCCTCATAGTGGCTCCTGAGGGGACTCACACCACTTAGCACTTCCTACTAGACAGATCCATCCCCATGTCTGTCTTCTCTGGGTGTGATAATGTCAGGGATGGGGAGGCCCTTTCATCATCTCTGCCCACCCAGCACCTGGCTTCCAGAGAGCTAGGACCTGGGAGTTAGAGGCCTGGACCTGAACTTGCCATTCACATGACTTCCTGTTCTTGGCAACTTCCTTAACTGCTCTGCATGCCAGCTTTCTTTTCTGTAAACTGAGTTAATGTGAACTGCTTCATAGAGTTGTTCTAAATATTAAATGGGACAAAATCCATAAAATGCCCGGTTGAGTAGGTGCTTCATCAATGGGAGAGTCTGGGTTATTGATTATTGTGCCAGACTCGTGGTTGCCAAGAGTCAGAATGACTAGTGAACAAATTCAGAATAGATGAGCATGATTGGGAAGGTGCTAAAATAGTTTCCAGAACAATGGACAGTGCAAGACAGACACAGTTGGGTGGCACCTAGGTGCAGATTGGGCCAGAACTCCAGGGCCCACAAGCACTTCTCCTGGGCCCAGCCCAGGGCACCTGCAGACATCACAGTGGTCCTGTGACTGGCTTGCACCTCCTTCAGAAGACGCATCTGGAGCCCCAGTTCCAGTCATGGTGGCTGCGCTTTGGCCGCCTTCATGCTGGCTATGTGCTGGTCCTCCACAGGGGAAATGTCAGCCTCCCTCCCAGAGTCTTGCTCAACCATCGGGGGCACTGAGTGGCAGCATTTCCTACCTTAGAGCCAGGACCCCATCACAGGTCAGCACCAGGCAGACCTCATGGCAGAGGGTCCCTCTCTCTCCTTGCAGATGATGGATGCCAACCAGCGCTGGGATGTGCCCGAGGCAGTGGAATGGATGGCAAAGCTGGCTGAGTTCAAGCCACTGTGGATTGAGGAGCCCACCTCCCCTGATGACATTCTGGGACACGCCACCATTGCCAAGGTAGAAAAACTGCACCTGCTCCTGCCACTCCTGCCATATATTTGTTTGTTTGTTGGGTTTCTGGACTGGCTGTGATGGATCCTAAAACTCCTTTGCTTATTTCCTTGTAGGTTTCTCTTTATTTTAGAGACAGTAAATTGCTAAACATTGAAAGGCTGCCCGCAATCCTAAGATTAATAGACACGACTTCATACTTTGTAAATACAGAAATCTGACTGATACTAAAATATTTTATTCACCCCTAATGAAACAAAATTGTAGATTCCCCTGGCTGACCCAAAAGAAAAGGTTTGCTAGCTAATGCCAAGGTCAGGCCACCCCAAGAGAAGGCTGCCTAGAGCCCCCGCACCAGGGCACTTTCCTCACAGATCTACTGGCTTCCTACCTCTTGGGTTTAGGGAGACCCTGGTACGTCAGAACGTCTGAGGAACATGCTTTCTCAGGAAGCGGCTCCCTTTAGCCAGTGTCTAGCACTGATAAATAGAAAGCCAGAATGCCGGGTCACTTATGAGGAGAACTCCTAACTTCTGGGAACACTAGATGTTTGTATCCTCTGACCCGAGCAAGCTCCACGAGGAGCCACATTAAACCAAAGGCTGTTGGATGAGTGAGAAATCAGGGCAGGAACGGGTTGTGTGATTTGAATACATTGGTGTCCATCCAAGGGGGCCCCACGCATCTATCCACAGAACATGGCTGTGCCTGCTCCTGGCATGAGGCATGTTGAGTCTTTTTTTTTTTTTTAAGATTTTATTTACTTATTTGTCAGGAAGAGAGATAGCACAAGCAGGCAGAGTGGCAGGCAGAGGCAGAGAGAAGCAGGCTTCCTGCTGAGCAAGGAGCCCAATGCGAGACTCCATCCCAGGATCCTAGAACCATGATCTGAGCCGAAGGCAGCGGCTTAACCTACTGAGCCACCCAGGCATCCTGGCATGTTGAGTCTTAAGTTCCCCCTCCTCAACCAGCACTCACCCCTAACTCCCCTTTTATGTTTTCCTCTGATGCCCCTTTCCCCCCAACACTCTGCTGTCAGGATGTAGGTTTGCTGGCCTTGTGTCCCTTCCTGCCTGCCTGAGCAGGTTTCCCCCTGAGGTGGTTCTGCATTGCTATACTTTCCCCTGATCTAGAAAGTTTCACTCTGTGGATGGGCAGTTTCACATTCTGGGAGGAACCCCTCCCAGAGGTAGGACACCTCAGTGTGTCCTACGGGCAGTTGTGGGTCCTACAGGGGCCTTCCTGCCCCATTTCTCTCAGGACACAAACGTATGAGCCCCTGCTGTCAGGCCCTCCACAGAAGCCTGTGTTTGAGGGATGCCCTCCATTCTCCCCACGTCACAGCCAAGCCACAGAGAAACAAAGATACGTGAACCTGAGAGAGCTGGCATGGCTGGGGGGGGTGCCAAGTGCTGAGGACAGTAGGAGCAAGGGCACTGCAGGGAGACATAGGGGTGGGCTATAGCAGTGGAGCTGCTTGGGGAGGTAAGACAAGAGCGGACCCTGAGCAAAGCTGCATGGCAGGTCGGGGGGCGGGGCGGGAGGAGCAGGAGCCACAGGGTGACCGTGTCAGTTTAAAGAGACCTGAAAGCTTCTGAGGAGTCATGAGGATCGGGTCAGAGGCCATGGTTTGACAAAGATTTTCACCTTGGGGTTCTTTGGGGGCAGCCAGGCTCTAGTGCTGCCCACCAGCCCACACAGGGACCTGCACCCCGCCCCCCAACACACACCCCTGCCCGGAGATTTTCATTAGAAGCTCTTCAGGGCTTCAGCCCTCTGAAGTTTTGTTTTTATGAGGGAGGCCATCCCCTCAGGAAGTATTCCATGACGTGGGCACAGACAACCCAAGGCAGGGGGCAGCTGCAGAGACAGCCGGCCCTGGTGGGGCCATGGAGATGCCCAGCGGAGTGCAGATGCACATCGGGGAAAGACAGGTCCCTGGGACCGGGTGATGGGTCCATTTGAGCAGAAGTGAGCCACCATAGTGTCTTGAAGGGGAGAATGGGATCAAAGAGGATTTGACTGGAAAAAACATGTAGGATGGCTTGAGATGTGGTACAATGTTGTGTGAAACAGGCAGAAAGAAACTAGAGGCAAAGAGCAGACAGAAGTAGGAGGCTTTCGCAGTAATCAAGGAGGATGGGCAGTGAAAGGACAGGGCAGCTAGACTAGAGCAGGCTCAGGAAATATTTAAAAGGAAGAAATAGAAGTTGGTACCTATTTAGTGTCAGAAACATATACTTTAAAATGGTAGAGTGAGTAAGCCAAATGGCTTTCCTACCCCTCTGTTTTTCCCCACTCTGGTTTTTGGTTTTGTTTTGAGATAAAGAACTGCACTCATATAGAGGTCTCTGGAAGCATAAACCAGGAAAGTAGAAGGTGCCCCACTGACCATCCACTCTAACTCCTCACCTGGGGACAAGGAGGCGAGGCTTGGGTGGTCCATGACCCCCCCTTCCATAAATAGTGGCAGGACAGGTAGCAGGATCAGGAGCCCCTGACTCTTAAATTAAGGGTTTTTTCTGCAGGAAAGTTTTCCTATCTAGTGGTTAGTAAGCTTCCACTGGCTCTGGAGCTGGCCTGGAGTCTAGGCCTTGGTTCTACCCTTTCCAGCCTGTGATCTGGGGGCGGTTACTAGCCCTGCGTCTGTTTCTCATCTGTGAAATGGGGACGGGATGATGGTGACTCCTATCCCAACGGGCTGTAGATGAGGACCCGTTTCAGTCAGGCTTTCACACAGCACCAGACAGGTAGCAGGACTCAGACATGTTAGCTATTGGTTCCCTTGCTGTATTCCCTAAACAATGGGAAGATAAGCTGGGGAGAAACCAAAGGCACCTGAGGAAATTGCCTGTGGCAGCACCAGGGGGGACGTTTGGGGAGCAGCCGGAGCCTGGGTGGAGGGGGTGAGGTAGCTTCAGAGGGGAGCACAGAGAGAGCAGTGCTGTGTTAAGAAGACTCCAGCATTCACCCAGTGAGGAGTTCACCAGGTAAGGAATAAGCTCTGCCTGACCTGTAAAGTGGATCTAAGGCCACTGGCTAAGCTTGAAGGGAGAGGGTTCTAGAACACCCACTGAAGGGGCGGCAGGGAGAATCTGCAGAGCTGTAGCAGGAAGGGAGCTAATGGCAGCATTTCAGCGAGCCCCTCCTGTGTGCACACATAGTCTGTTTGCCAACCTTTTGCCCTTCCTAAAACTTCACACAGCCCCCGCAGGGACATCTCCTTCTTCAGCTCTGAGTGGTTAAACCACTGTAAATTTTTTTTAAATTAGGATTTTCAGTTCAGAATCTTTGGGAAATAACATCAGGTTGCCTTCTATTTTATAGGCGCTGGTCCCATTAGGAATTGGCGTTGCCACCGGAGAACAGGTAAGTGACATCTCCTTGGGGTCAGTACACACTGGCCACCCACTGGGGACACTGGCGTATGTTAGGCTCCACCACCTGTGTTATTTTGAGGGGGGATGTTTTCATAATCTCAGAACCTAGGATGCTTCACAGCACATCGGTAGAGTCTGCAGTCAGAGAGAGTCAAAATTTGTCTCTTTTCCGACAATTCATACGAAGTAAAGCCCAGTATCTTTCCCAAAGTATCGAATCAACGTTTACAAGGTAGCAGTTTGAAGTTGCTCCTGCCAGGGCCTAAGACGCACAGTATGGTTTTAAGAAAGCCAGCTTCCAAACTGAATAAACATCACTGCGTTCACTCTCCGTGCTTACAAATGGAGCACAAATGCTTGCCAAGACCCACAGCCGTCCACCCGCGCACGGAGCCTCGTGGAGGAACAGATCCTCGGTTTGCCCAGCGAAAGGAGCAGTGCTGGCTGGCCTTGGGGTTTCCGTCGTCCTAGCCACCTGCTCGTCGCCATCACCACATGCCCTCCTGATGCTTCTCTTTGCCTCCCCCTTGCCAGCCGCTCTGAGCGTCATTCCCTGATAGATGTCCAGCCAGTGGGACTTTTGCGTGCCTCACACCCTTCCACTAGCAGATTTACGAAGCAGTGAGCAGTCAGGACCCCCACCTGCATTGTCAGGGCTCGCTTCGTGCCAGATGAGAGTGAAGAATACAGCCCGGGCTTCCTGAAGGCCCAGGTTAACTCTTCTGCTGGTTTTAATGTAATTCTATTTCCAGTGCCACAACAGAGTGATATTTAAGCAACTCCTTCAGGCGAAAGCCCTGCAGTTTCTCCAGATTGACAGCTGTAGGCTGGGAAGTGTCAATGAAAACCTTTCAGTGTTGCTGATGGCCAAAAAGTTTGAAAGTAAGGGCGCCCGGGAACCGCATACCAACCCTCCATTTCCCCGCCCTCCGCACACCACGGGTCCCTCTGGAGAGACTGTCTTTTCAGCCGAATCAGGGAATCTTTGACGATTTTCATCCTGCAATTTCCTCCCTAAATAATAATGAATGATGTAATCACCTGCGGGCAATGAGAAAAACCTCAGGTGTTCTCTCCTCTGCCCACCCCCACCCCACTTGGCATTAAGTAGAGATCTGTCTTTATTGTAGTTCCGGTTTGCCCCCATGCTGGCGGAGTTGGCCTCTGTGAATTGGTTCAGCATCTGATTCTATTTGACTTCATATCTGTTTCTGCAAGCCTCAAGAACAGGTAATGTCAGGATAAAATTCGGCTCTGGAGAACAGAGGCACTAAGAACTCTCTTGTTTGCCACATTCTATAACTCAAAAGCCAAGTTGGCTTTGCTTCCACTTTTTCCCATGGGGCCATTTCACTAGAGTCCCAGCAGTGAATAGATCTCTTTTTCTTTTAGATGGTGGGTTCATGGTAGCTGCCTTTGTTTTCTAAGCACATGATGGGCAGGTGGGGTGGAACCTGGGGAAAACAGACTCCTTTTTTTTAAAGTAGGCTCCACACCTAGTATGAAGTCCACCAGAGCTTGAACTCAACGACCCTGAGATTAAGACTTGAGGTGAGATCAAGAGTTAGGCACTTAACCTACTGAGCCACCCAGGCGCCCCCAGAATTCCTTCCTTTCTAAATCTACATGGCTTTCATCACATTTATATTCTCTGCTTTTCCTGGTCCCAGCGCTGGAGTCTTTCATAGTCTGGCCACATCTAGTTCCACCTTATGTCTCAAGATGTCCCAGGTGAACTTTAAGACAGTCTTCCAGTAATCTGCACACATAGGGATTTATTTTGATTTATTTTTTTAAAAGATTTTATTTATTTATTTGCCAGAGAGAGAGAGAGAGAGAGCAAGCGCGCACGCACAAGCAGGGGGAGTGGCAGGCAGCGGGAGAAGCAGGCTCCTCCCTGAGCAAGGAGCCAGATGCAGGACTTGATCCCAGGACCCTAGGATCATGACCGGAGCCGAAGGCAGACGCTCAACAACTGAGCCACCCAGGCCCCCCTATTTTTATTTTTCTAAAGATGTATTTATTTCAGAGAGTGAGTGAGAGGGTGGAGGGGCAGAGGGAGAGAATGCTGTAGCTAAAACCTCTTGCTGAATGCAGAGCAGGACATGAGGCTCAGTCCCAGGACCCTGAGATCATGACCTGAGCCAGAATCAAGAGCCAGCTGCTTAACTGACTGAGCCTCTCAGGCTCCCCATGTGACTTTATTATGCATTTCTTTCCTCCTGGAATTAAATGTGGTATTGCAGAAGGATCCCTGGCCATAATTTTATATGGTGGCAACATAAAAATGTGCATGAGAATGGCAAACACCAAACGCCAGGCAGTGGGTAAGAAATGGGACCTGTGAGGGTTGATAGGGGGCCTCAGTGATAAAGTAATGGTTTCTCTCTCTAGGTGGGGGGTGAGTACATAGATGTGCCTTTTATGTCTGAAATATTTTGTATGATAAAAAGTGAACATTCCTAGGCTACTCTGCTTTTGCCCTCTCTCATTTCAGTCCTGCAGGTGGGACCAAGGGGAGGTTCAGACCAACCTTGAAAGGTCCTGCCAGTCTTGCGGGCTAAGAAAAGGGCCCTCACTGAGGGTGGTACACTGTGAGCATGCGTGAGTAGGTGAGAGTGAATCAGGCTGCTCTGGGGCTAGGGAATGTCTGTGTGGGTGGGGCAGCCGCCAGGCACCACTGGGCACCCCTGCTTTGTGACCACATGGAGTGCCCATTCCCTGCTCATTCAAGGCCAGAACATCCTCTCCCATGTGGCTGGTTCTTCACCTATAGTCTGTTCTTATAGATGACACATAGCACATATTCTAGGTGGTAACCTGGTATCGTGTCCACTGAAACCATGCAGCCATGTCTTGCCAGTTCCTTGGTGAGTGCCCAGCACCAGGCACCTGGGCTGCCTGTCCTAACTGTTCATTAACCGATGACCAAAGTAAGGCAGCAGAGTTAGGTCACTTGCCCCAAGTCACAAAACTAGAAGGTGGTTGACTCCACAAATTTGAACAGATTGGTTTGATAGTAAAACCTGTGCTCTTTTTTCTAAATCATGTGTGTAGCTGGATGGGATCTCACTGGGTGATTTTAATCTATTCATCTAACCTCTCGCTAAAGGTACCCAAATAATCCCAGATACTTATGGAGTCTAAATGGGTATCTTCAGGGGGTCCCGAAACCTTTACAGATCTTCCTTGGCTTGAGATAGCTTAACATTCCAATAAACCCTCCCTAAAATATTGAAATAGTAATATATTTATCAATATTGATAAATATTAATATATTGAAGCTATATTTTAAAATGTGTTTAATACGCCTAACCTACTGAACATCATAGCTTAGCCTAGGCTACCTCAAACATGCTCAGAACACCTGTGTTGGTCTCTACTTGAGCACAGTCATCTGGCATGAAGCTTGTTTTACAATAAACTGTTGAATAACTCTTGTAGTTTATTGAATACATTACTGAAAGTGTAAAACAGAACGGTTGTATGAGTGCAACAGTTGTTAGTGTACTGGTTGTGGACCTTCATGATGGCATGTTTGACTGGGGGCTGCTGCCGCCACAACCCAGCATCACGAGAGAGGATCATATCACACATCACAAGCTGGGAAAAGATTCAAATTCAAAATCTGAAGTAAAATTCTACTGAATGCATATGGCTTTTGCTTCATCGGGGAGTCGAAAAATCTTAAGTCAAAACGTTGTAAATTGGGGACCATCTGTAGAGTTACAACAGACTTTTTTACCCACCCACGTGTGACTTCACCCTCACATTACTTTATTTTACAGAAAGAACCTGAGGCAGTGGTTGAAGGATTTGCGTAGACATGCACCCGATTGAGTCCACCCTTTCTTGAGCGGTGCTCATGCCTTTGCTTTAACAGTTAGTACCACACGAATCATCTAACATAAGACCGTAATTACTGCCCTAATCTGATTTCTTCCTCCTAGGATGTGTGAATATGTCGACCACCTGCACGAACATTTCAGGTATCCAGTGGTAATCAAAAAGGCTTCCTACATGCCTCCTCAGGTGAGCAAGGAGCTGCCAGCCCCTGGTATTCTTGTTCTTGTAGGTTAGACCCTAGAGTGCAAAACGGTCTCCTTAGAGCTTATTTTCAGTATCTAGAAATTATAAATGTCTCTTGAGTTAGCAATATCAAATTTCCAAGGCCTGAAGGTCAGGAGTTAAAGTGAAATTGCCCCAACAAGGCTTCTCTAATGCCAGCCTTTCTTCCCAACACCAGCTGAGACCTTAAAATGAACACCTCTTGTGCAAACCCCTCCCCACCCCCTGCCACAAACAAAACAAAACAAAAAATAAAACTTGGCACCACCTAGCAAGTTAGCGAACTGAAACGTTTAGACTGCGGTTGTGTTGTCTGGACCACTTATCTTCATCATGTCCAAGACACTGGGGCTCATTTTCACCAGTGGAGGCTGAGTTGTCAAGGAAGTGATTAGTTTAATCCTGAGATGTAGCCAATAAAAAGCGTATCCTTCCCCATTTCAAATAATATGAAAACAGCGTTTCTTTGAGCAGCAGAAATACATATATGAGTTTTGTTCCAGGTGGTTATTAACACTATTCTTTCTATTCTTTGTCTTTGATAGGATGCTGGTTATTCAACAGAAATGAAGGAAGAATCTGTAAAGAAACACCAGTATCCAGATGGTGAAGTCTGGAAGAAACTCCTTGCTGCTTAAGGGAATTAAATGTTCAGCCCTAACACCCTTTCCTAAGTGAAAAGTCTTACATACACTTTTTGGGTGTGGTTTTACAAAAACAGGAGAAAGAAATCATCCTAGAATTCAAAACAATTTCAGCCAAAGTCCTATTAACCCCAGGAATCAGCTGTCATTATTACTTGATTCTTTTACAAATAAACACATTCTCCTAATTAATCCTTAAACAAATTTAGATTTAACTCCAAGTTCAGAAAGATGTTCTTAGAAAAATTTCTATCAAGTGCTGGTACGTGGACATTATTCTGTACTTTGAAAATAAGCAGCAGGTTGCATAACTGTTGGAACACTGCTTTATTCTAACACTTGTTAAAAATTAGCAGAGTAAAAATAGTTCTGCAGGACTATGAGGTAGCTGGTGTACAACCAAAGGTAAAAGGATTTCATGCATTATCCCTGGAGTGGGTTAGCCTTGCTTTTCTTGCTCTAAGGGTATTAGCAGAGGATTCACACCATACTGAAACCATGACAGTGATAATGGGCAGGAAAATGGCATTTCATACATTATTTTTCCATAGTCCTTAAAACTTTATCCTAAATAATTATATGCTAATGATAAATGCAACCAGAATTAGATGAACTGCAGAAAAATAGGGCAAAATACAGTTTAATCTCCATTTCTAAAATATACTAAACCTCTAAGCTGTATCCAAATGAGAATAGAGCATATGTTTGTTTAGGAGGGTTCACTTAAATCTTTTAGGCAGGAAGTGAGCAGAATGGCAATACAGAATTAAAAAAATTTTGTTAAAAAGATGAATGCAGAACACATCTTTATTATAGCAATATATAAAGCAAATAACTTTAAATGTTCATAACCACAACTGTACATTATTAATGAATGCTGGTGTTATTTAGCTTGCTCAGATTTGGGGGAAGAGCTGATGTGTAATTCCTGAAATTCATGGACCTTCATAAAAATGGGGGGTTGAAATGCATGTACATGTTTTAAGAGTATTCCAGTTTTTATTCTCCTCTTAGTCCCCATCTCAGCATTTTCACATGTCCTCAGTGAGTTAACCAAATTCAAGGCATTTTGTTTTAAGATATCTGGCAAGGTTGTTTGTCAGTGGCAACATTCTTACAAGTTAATAACTGCTAGTCACCAAGAGATTTTTGACTTAGTTCCCTCTTCCTCTAGGGCAAATGAGCTTTCACCTGGGTACTCAGTCCAAACCCTACAGACTGAATAGCCTTCAAATATCTCCTTTATAAGCACTTTAAACAGCCATTTCCATTTTAATAGTCGGGTGAGGACTGTAACCCTCAATCTGAAAGTCTTCAGCCTTGAAGTCATTGATGGTCTCAACTTTTCGAAGGATTTTGAGCTTCGGGAAAGGCCTTGGTTCTCGCTGAAGCTAGAAACAATAGGAGATGATTATTTTGCCATTATCTGTACAACCTGCTTTAATTCTGCTCCATGTGAAACAAGTACGCAGTATTATTGGTGAAGTATTATTTCACAGGAGTGTAATAGTGCAGATATCTGCCCCGGCTTATGCAACACTCCTGGGTTATAACTTTTAGGCGGATTCTCTCCCACACATGGAGACTGAAGGATCTTCGGGGACATCACACAGCATCAGGAGCCTTGTGGCTCATCTTACAATTGACTGCTCTTGGCAAATTTATTAAGGATGGGACACTTTTTCACTTCTGTATCTGTAACTCCTGGTAGGCACCCAAGTATGGTTATTTGAGTCCCATAATCCCTATCTCCAACTGTCCCTGGCAAAGAGGGTGAGGTAAGATGACATCTGTTGACACCAGAGAGGGATGGAAGCTGGGGTTCCTGGAGTGAACAGAGGGTAGCAATGGGGACATGGACACAGGCTCTAACCTCATCACTCTGTCCAGCATAACTGGAGCAGATGGCCACAGAAGCCACTGGACAAACCCCAAAGGTACCCTCTACACAAAAATAGCCAAGCTCCCACAAAGGAGGAACTTCCAAAACCTGGATCTCATCTGGAAGGGGCTAAAAGGATCTTGTTAAATTTTTTTTCCTTGGGGCTCATTAAGCATCACTCTTATTTTTAATTGCCATTTCAATGCCTTGTCCCTGCCCACCACCCGTCCCTGCACTGGAGCAGGGCATCTTATCTCTGCCCCAGCACAGAGCAGAAGGTCTGTTACATGAGGGATGTTCTAGAAGGCAACGTCTTATCAAGAGAAGGTACCAAAATTCAAAGTGTGACAGATATCACTCTTACCTGCATTTTCAGCGGCTCAATATGATTCAGGTAAATATGTGCATCTCCCAAAGTATGTATGAAGTCACCTGGCTAAATCCCATGGGAGTAAGCAAAATGGCAGATGTTTTAGTTTCAATTCCTTTCAGACACATCATTTAAAAGCACATTATGTAGACTATGCAAACATTCCAACACTTTTCAGAAAGCAATTTCACCTGCGTAGCTTTTGAGAAAAGTTGATATTCACAAAAGTTGTCTTGTCTCGTAAATAACCCGCACCAACGTGTGTGCTTATACAGACCGCAGAAACAGGAAGCCTCCCTGGAAGGCTGCCAGGTGAGCAGCTGTTTCTCACACAGATCACATTTTAAAACTAACCAGACACTGGCCTCCCTGCGAGAGTTTTTCCACGGTAAATAACCTACGAGCTCAGGGTTTCAGGCGGGTAGCCCCCCTTCCCTTCAGGGCGCAGCCCACCTTTAGGCCTGTGATGTGTGCGATCATGTAGGTGAGCAGGGCATAGCTGGCGATGTTGAAGGGCACACCCAGGCCCATGTCCCCTGACCTCTGGTACAGCTGGCAGGACAGCTCACCATTCACCACGTAGAACTGGCAGAGGGCATGGCACGGAGGGAGGGCCATCAGAGGAAGATCTGAGGAGCCAGCACAAAGGAAAATGAGGTGCCGGCAGTCTTAATGCAGCTACACACAAAACGAGAGAAACAGGAGCCGGCTCCTATGGGGGAGATGAGAACAGGCCACTGGGCCAGTGACCTCATGACCTACACCACCACCTAGGTCAAAAGCAGACCATTCCAATTCTGCAGCTGGCAACATGCCTACAGTGACCCATCCAACAACACATGGCGTCTGCGGATGTACGCTCATAATTGAAGCCACAGTCATCCGGCCAAAACTACTTGTGCTGTCTTCGTGGCGCCAAACTACAAGCAGGAAGAACTCATTCATTCCCAGGGGCCGCAGGAAACTGTCACCCCATGCACAAAGTCTGTGTTCAAATTCTCTTTTGGAAAAGCAAATATTCCACTTTGGTAATATTTATTACACCTTGGTAGAGTTTAATTTTACTCTAACTGTTAAAATGTTAACAGCCAGGTGGAGGAGATATGAAACTTCATCCACCCCAATTTAAGCTGTTAAAATCCAAGGTGTATTTTTACAGGTAATTTAAAACCCTCTTTGGAGTAAAAGAACTATCAATACACATATTAAGATCATCTTCATCCAACCCCATCATCTGAAGGTAGAAGTGTGGCCAAGAGTGACTTGCCCAGGGTCACACCAGCCATGTGGCTGGGGGTGGTTCCCAGGGTCCAGCCTTCTATCGGCAGCCTCCATGCGAAGCCACAGGGCTTCCCTTTGTGCTAGTGGACAGTCTGGACACAAGAGAATAACTGGGATGCTTCCAACCTTTTGGATTCCAGCCACACAGGATGATTCTTCTGTCGTTGGGGTTGGTTTTGATCATGTCAATGACCTTTTGCAGTTGGTCTACTCCTTGACCTGAATAATCTGTGGAATTGTCAAGAGAAGACACGCCACATGTTGATCACAGCATTTCATGAGATGACCTTAGAGGCCATCTATCACCCTCTTACCAAGCCCCCCGAGGTCACGCTATAAGATAGCCAAGGCACTCTACAAATTCCTCTGCTCTCTTGGGTTGATGATGCGTTCAGGACTTTGCTATCTATCCTCTGGAGCCATAACAAAGGTTTTTTTCTTTCCTACAAAAGAATCCTTTAAATATCTGTCATGGTGCCACCCCTCCCTACCAGCCCCCCTCCCCATTGCTAATTTTCTCCAATCCCAGCAATCAGTTTCTTCCATGGTCCTCATGGGGCTGTCTCTACACCCATCAACCATTCCATCACACTCTACTGCCACGGAAAGTACTGTATCTTAAATAGAAGACACCACTCCACACATGCTCCAACAGAGGACAGTGGTCTGGATGCTATTCTCCCAATGCTTCCACCTAAAATTACAATTTAGCAACCAAACACCTACTAATTTATAAATATCAAGAAACCTCTGTAACTCTCACACCACCCTGTACTTATCTCCCATTTCTGGTCTCTGGACTTTAATTTCTTGCCTTCCTTCTGAAATAGAACTGGGAGCTGCGAAGTCTGAGAAGTGTGGAGCTTCATATCCCCTCCGGTTATACCTGCGCTTATTGGGGTCAGACTATATTCTAGTCCAGTTGTTCTTAATTTCAGGGGGAAGAATGTCCTGTCATGATCATAGCTTCAGGAAAAGGAATAGCAAAGGAATTTGCTATTTTGTGATCCCCTAAAATAGCAAAGAAATAGAAAATTTCTTTTCTTAAAAAAGAAAAAGATGCACTGTGATAGTACAGTTCTGTATGTTGGTTGTGGTGCTTATATAAATGTACAGGTGCTAAAATTAGCAATGGTTTCTGTCCAGCCAGCAAGGTAGCACTTCCTACAAATGTGTGTACACACACAAACACTCATGCGCACACATTCTGAGGAGGTAGGCATTTGCTTTTGCAACACCTGACCTATGGACAGGCAGGAGAGGAAGGGTCAAAGGATGGGGGCAAATGGTGCTACCATGAGACTAAGGTGGATGTCCAGCAGTAAGATGATTCATCTTCTTCCACCTGAGAAGGGCAGGGAGAAAAGGGTAAGCCAAGAACTACTATCACATGAGCACCACCTAAAGTGTGCAGGGTGGCTCAGCCTTCAAACAGGTGATCAAGCCACTACAAGGCAATCCTGAGGCTTCTTCCTACATTATTTCCCCAACACAGCAGCCAACCGACCCTCCATGTAGGTATCTGCTAATGAAACACAGTATGGAAAGTACCAAGTACCCAATAAATGCTAACAACCAAGAGTGTGATCTGACCTCTACCTGAATCTGAAACAGCTCACAAAGTCAAAGTTATACATCAGCTCCACAGACAGCAGCATCTGTATAGATACTGGCCCCCAGTTTCACTTGAAACAATGGGGCCAACTCATACTATGTTGGGTGCTCAGGAAATGTGACGCATCGCTGTTTTCTCACCTGAATCCTTATCTATGTATTCTGCCCCAAAATGCCTCCACTGAAAGCCATAAACTGGGCCTAAATCCCCTTCTTCTCTGTTGGAGAATCCCAGGCTGTCCAAGAAGTCTCGAGACCCATTGGCATCCCAGATTTTCACTCCCTTGGAAGACAGTTCCTTAGCGTTTGTAGATCCCTGCAAGAGACAGGAAAGCAGAGCAGGCAACCGAGTAAAGAAGCTGACACCCCAAGAGCCTCCCACAAACTGCTCCTCTGGCCTGTGCTAACACAGCAAAGACAGCCACTCAGCATGTCCCACACGGTACGTCCTGTCCTTAAGGGCCAGTCCCAGCCCAGACTTTCTGAGGGCCCCTAGGACAGTCTCCTGGAATCGCTTCCAGGACAAGGGATTCTTCCTCTCAACTAAATGTTCTAGATTAAACACCTCCAAGTCCTTTCATTATTCCCACCTCACCTAAAGGTTTTGTGTTTTTTAACAAATGTGTTTTGTGTAAGTG